TGGCAGTTCGTTTTTTTTTTTTTTTTTTTGCTTCCCACTACGGTATGTCCTTGAGCTACCGTCTTCACCCGAATAGAACGCACGGTCATTATCGCTGCATCTGGACGGAAAATTGTGAGAAATACAGCTGTAATGACCGGGCGTTCTATTTGGGTGAAGACGGTAGGCGGTTGTGTCGATTGGCGGTCTCCATGCCACCAGCCCTACCTTCTTCCCCCCAATAGATCGTACGGTCATTATGACTGTACTTGGGGTATCTTTGAGTCTCGATACAGGTATAGTGACCGTACGTTCTATTGGGGGGAAGGAGGTAGAGGGTGCTTGATCGTCAGGGTATATGGTTACTTTGGAGGGGTCTGCATGGGCGGGCCCATGCAGGTTAGCTGGTACACCCATGGGCCGTTGAAACACAGACTGGAGTTCGGATCGGATCCATATGGAACTAGATGATAAAGGCCCCTGTCAGGGTAAAGGGTAGTTGGTACACCCACGATGAAGGCCTGCTAAGGCAGGGTAGTTGGTACACCCACGATAAAGGCCTGGTAGTGCAGGTTAGTGGGGTACACCCATGGCCTTTATCGTCGAGCTGACCGGCGGCCTGGAGTTCGGATCCATATGGAACTAGATGATAAAGGCCCCTGAATTACAAGTACCAGGCCGCCTGTCAGCTCGATGATAAAGGCCATCGCCCCCAAAATACTGTAAGAATTGATAGACAGCGAGGGCGCGGGGGGTTTTCGCAGGAAGGCCAGCAGCTGCAACGTGCCAGTCTCCGACGAATCAATCAATCAATCAATCAATCTATCAATCAATCAATCAATTAATCAATCAATCAATCAATCAGTCAATCAATCAGTTGATCACTCAATCCAACCGATCAGTAAGCTAATCAGTCAATCAATAAATCAAAATGAATCAACATCAACGAGAGATGCAAACCCGAAAAGACAAGAAACAAAAGAGGAAGGGCAAAATTCAACTGACATCTTCCTCCTTCTGAAGCTATGTTTGCTCTTTCTCTCTCTCTTTCTCTCTCTCTCTCTCTCTCTCTCTTTCTCTTTCTCTCTCTCTCTCTCTCTCTCTCTTTCTCTCTCTCTGTCTCTCTTTCTCTCTATTCAAAGAAACCTGAGTTGTCTCTTGCTTCTTTGAAACTCAATCTCAATCCTCTGTCGATCACCACGCACCAGAATGATCGTGATGATGATGACGATCAAAGCCTCATCGGTACATCATATCCTCATCGGTATTTCCCCTGGTGGCGGTGGTGTTGGTTGATGTTGATATGATGTACCGATGAGGATGGCTAGCTACGACAATGGAGGGAGGGAGGAGGGGGAGCGGGGGAAGGAGGAAAGAGAGACAGGAAGAAGAAGAAGACTAGGGGGGATGTTGAATTACTAACCTTTGAAAACACTTTTTGCTTAATCTCTACCCGCCGACGCGTTGTGAGCATCCTGTCGATCACGGCGTGTCGGCGGGCATGAGCATCCCGACGCGATGATCGACTTGGCAAGGCATATACGGAAGGCGAGAAGCTGCCACGTCGCAGCCTCCAACGAATCAATCAATCGATCCCATCAATCAAAAAATCAACAAATCAATCTCAAACCAATTAGTCCCGTCAGCGACGAACCAATCAGCCTATCAACCAACGGTCAATCAATCAATCAATCAATCAATGCACCAACCAGCCAACCAATCGCAAGGAATTAGCTCAGCCAAGAAATCAAATTCTTGGTGGCAATCATCAACTTCAGGATGTGTTAATAACAGCTCACGCTTTCTTGAGGGCCCCGGCCTCGTCCAAATTCTTCTGCAGTAAAATTTTCATTATCTTAAAAAAAAAAACCAAAAAAAAAAACCAGCTCACTCTTTCTTAATTTCCTAATGATCTGTGCACCGGTGTGTTAGATGTTGGCAACCACACCACTGCAAAAAAAACAATGTCATAATGATCTGTGCACCGGTGTGTTAGATGTTGGCAACCACACCACTGCAAAAAAAACAATGTCAATGTGGTGAATACCTGGGAATTACCATAAATAATAAATAAAATTAAATAAAATCAAATAAAGGTAATGCGTTTTTGTACTTAAATTGCATTGGGCGCAACTTGGGGTGGGGGCAACGATCACCAATGACTCTTAATATATAATATATATATTTGACGATATATAAGTGAGCATATATAATAAACGTTGGGAAAAGAAAAGGCCCGAATTCGCAGTACGGGGGATGCACGTTGGGCATACTGATAATGATTAGAGTCTCCAATCAGAGAAAGGGGTACTTAATTAACCAGTGGGCTTGCCTACAACCAGGAACATACCCATACCAGTCGTTCTCCTTTTGGTCTCGTGCTAAACACCCGTCCTATTACTCTTCTCCGTCCTCCTTCCGGCGCTTCCCTCTTCCCTCCTCATCGTGTTGTCCCTCCTTCAATCCCGTGCCGTTCGACATCCACTGGTTCTCCACCCCGTAGATCGTACAGGCACACAGAGAGAGAGAGAGAGAGAGAGAGAGAGAGAGAGAGAGAGAGAGAGAGAGAGAGAGAGAGAGAGAGAGAGAGAGAGAGAAGGAGAGGAGGGGGAGGAAGAAAGGGAGAAGGTGGAGGAGGACAGTCGCAGATCTTTCCTCTCAGAGAGAGAGAGAGAGAGAGAGAGAGAGAGAGAGAGAGAGCACGGATTCACGATGAGCACGGATCCATGATGAGCACCAAGCACGAAAAGCATGTATCCACGATGAGCACGAAAAGCACGGATCAAC